TTTCCTCCAGCGACACCTTTTCCTCCAGCGACACAATTTTCCTCCAGCGACACATTTTCCTCCAGCGACACCTTTCCTCCAGCGACGCCTTTCCTCCAGCGACACCTTTCCTCCAGCGACACCTTTCCTCCAGCGACACCTTTTCCTCAAGCGACACTTTTTTCCGCCAGCGACACTTTTTCCTCCAGCGACACCTTTCCTCCAGCGACACATTTCCTCCAGTGACCCGTTCCCTCCAGCGATACATTTCCAACACAATCAGCTTGTGCCAAGGTCTTTTCGGTCCCATACTCTCAAGACCGGAGTACGCTCCAATGCCGCCCATCCAATGCATCTGCGGTCCGTCGTTTCCCGCACGCAGCTATTGGCATCATCGGCAAATCAAGCATGTGCATTGCTGTGGAGCTTACTTTGCCGGTAAGAACTGGTCGAAGCACGAAAAAAAACTGGTCACTCCGACGTCGACATCCGTCCGCAACCAAAGAAACAGCACGTAGGCTTACAATGAGCGACTCCGTAACGTGGAGCGAGAGCAATGTCACCGCCAAGATGCGCAGGAAGTATGATTTCCCAATTCGCACCTTGCTTCGCGAATGCCAGACCAGCCCGATCCCTGCCCTGCCTTCGCGACATACCATTTGCGCGAATTGGGACTCTCTCAGACACGACCGATGACGCGGAAGTCTGGTATGTTACGGAGAAGCAGATCGAGGAGAAGGTCATCGACCGAGGCTTTGTTCTGCGCAAGCCCACTGTGATCAAATCACATCCAGCAGGAAGATGTGGACGCAGTCTCGACTTGTTCTTGGAGGCCTTGCATAATCACTTCGCCGGTAGTAGAGTGGACATCCAAGATCTAAGCACGACAGAGACACTTCCCCGTCTCGATACCCATCGTCGGCTACACGAGCATGATAGCCGCGCATCGTCGTGGTTGAACCTCTCGTTGTAGTCGGCAAAGTCTCCGTGACGGGACCGTGCCGCTAGCAGGTGGTAGAGCAGTTGTCGTGAGAGCTCTAGCTCTGGTGGGCAGCCGGTGGTAGGTTTGAGATGCAGTGGCTTGTACTGGTCGGGTGCAGGGGCGTCCCACCAGGCTTCAAAAGCGTCTCTGGACTGCTGCCGGGCGGTCCTGCGCAAATGAGCGAGTGTTGGGAGAGCGTTTGCTGGTTCGGGCAAGGAGGTGGCCGCCTTCGCAAGGGCGTCCGCCTACTCGTTGCCTACAATGTTAGTGTGGCCGGGGATCCAGCGGACCTCAACAGCGCCATGCGTCGTGGCTAGAGCCTGAAACTCAAGGAACACTTTCTGGGAAGAGTCCGCGGGCACGCCTCTCAGACAGGTTGCGACCCCGAGATTATCGAAGCACACAAAGATGTTTCGTGGGCTAGGGAGGCTCAGTGCAGCACGCAATCCTTGAAGGGCACCCTTGGCTTCGGCGCCGAAGACCTCAGCTGGGCCAAGGCGACCGTTGCCACTCGTCACGGTGAGTCCATCGCGATGAATCACATAACCATACCCAGCGGCTTTCTCTGTCGATAGAGACCCGTCTGAGTAAACAATGAGCGTTTCACTTGGGATAGATCGGAGCCATTCCCTGAAGTCTTCTGCCGACTCGTCTTTCGACGCGTTCTGTAGGGGCGTCGCGTGCTCGCCGAACCGGCGGGGGAGGAGCAGTGGTCGTGTGCTGCGAGGTGGGTCAACCAGGTGGCGACGCAATGGAGGCAGACCGTTTGTCACATCCAACGGGTGTGTCGACTGTTGGGGATATTTCGAAAACGGGTGGAAGGATAATTCAACATGGGTTGCGAAGGCGAAGCGGATGGTACGGGTTGCATGGAGGCGGAATGTCGCCACCTGCAGACGGCAGGGAGTGCGGTGGCCGACGAAGGTGGGGAACCGGCTGCGAAGCGACAACGGAGGTATTACAACCCGTTTCAAGCGTACTGTGAGCGCACTCGAGCGACACCCAGGTCGCTCTGGTGAAAGACGAGGACGCTTCTTCATCGGACCACACCGGTACAGACACCGACGAGCTTAAGCTATGGCAGTCCGCCTTTGAGGACGACGACAGTGAAGTAAGAGACCCAATATAGTACTGGCACGAGCGCAGACGGCGATATCCACGCCTTTCACTAATGGCGCTGGACTTCCTTACGATCCAGCCGATGTCGGCAGAGTGCGAGAGGTTATTCTCAGCGGCAGGGCGTATGGTGACGCTCCTAAGGAGTCGGCTTGATGCAGACATAATTGGGATATGCAAGTTCTGAGGTCGTGGTTACGTGCTGGTGTGATTGACGACCTGGACATATCACTGGTCCATGTTGGGACCATAAAGGGGTGAGGATGAGGCAGTGAACGGACCGTGGATGAGGGCGCTCGAAGACGCAGGGTCGGAGGGCGACTGGGAATAGGTACCCGAACCTTCGGGTACCATGTCGTCTCGTGGGCTCCCGAGCAGAGCTTTCGCACGCAAAACCGCTGCGAACCACCGACCACTTCTCAATTCAGGTGCCCGCCATCCTAACTCATCGTCCTATGTGGCAGGTGACTGGCGCGCTTGCACAGCCTGAGATTGGCTCTAGATCCTTCAAGATACATGACCCAGTATTCGTTTCGTTGGCATCGAATGGCCGCGCTAAGCCTTTGTTCGTCTTACCGCCGCGGAAGGAGCGGGGAAAGGCTCCGTGGAGAAAGGCAAATTGGCACAGGCGCACAGGTTGGGGCTGGTATATCCACACAACTCATTGCTCCGTTTCGCAACTCGCAGTACATTGTGAAGCTCCTCGTAACGCTTTCTACTTGCCAGCATGACCTTCGCGGCTGGAGCTCCTGCGCTGGCACCCAACGAAGCAGCCACGGCCCAACATGTCAGCGCTGATGATAATGGTGCTCCCCGATAGGTCGACAAGGGATGTCACGCCAAGCACCAATACTGAAGACAGGGAAAGATGCAGCCTCACCCGGAATTCGGTGCTCCGGAGACATGGGGCCGCCCTCAGCGTAATTGAAAGCTATGAAGTCGCAACCGCCATGTGCTTCGAGACGGCGAGAAAGATGATACAATATGTGCAGATATCGCCGTGTCCGGTGGTAACGATCGCGCCACTGCGGCTCAGAGCATCCTGGCTGGTTTTCGGGAAGATGATGTTTACCTGACACAGTACGATCTTGGAAGGACCGCTCTACAAGCATCTGCCGGCATGAGCGTTGGCTTTGTGCCGTCAACATCGTTTGTCCATTCCGGAAGGGCCATTGCAGCACGACTGGCGCCGAAACAAGAGAGTTGGCGATCTGTGCCCTCCTAATGTGCCGGCGACTAGACTTGCTGCAACGGACGGAGGAAAGAGACGTCGCCCAGCCCCGCCAGATTCGTGGGTGGCGAGGGCGGCGCTGGCAAGTCTGCTCATACACACCCTGGTCGTCGCGAGCAGACGCAAAACCGGTCGCCTGCTGACAATCAACGAGCGAAGGAGGCTCAACCTTGCCGCCTTCTTCATCCTTCCACAGGTTGCTAGATAGCTCAGGGGGAAACGTCGCTCAAATCACGGGCGACTCGTCAATTGACAGCTTCGCTCATGCAGGTTTCGTTGTTGTAAGAGGAAGGTGACCGAAACTGGTGGTCAATGTCAGCCTGGCTATTAAATCCTTCGAGCTGTATGATCAAGACTCGAGTAGTCGGCTTAGGATAAGCCTCGCGCTAAGCCTGTTGATCATCTTACGCACCTGGGCGATAGTCTCCGCAGCTACACCATTGGTCCAACCGTTCGACAACGCGGGGAAAACGCGACGTGAATTAGAAATTGTAGTTGTGGTTTGGCTAGCGCTGGCTTTGGACCGCCCCAACTTGTCACGACTATTTATATAGGCTCACGTTCGCAGTTTCAGTTGGATGATCCAACCATTCTTGCGCGCAACTCGTAACACACAATGAAATTCCTCGCAAGCCTTCTTTTCGCCGGAATCGCCCTCGCGGCTGCCGTTCCGGGTCCCGCAGAAGACATGGTAGGAGGGTCACCCCGTTACGAGGACGTGTCCCTGCTGACGTTGGTACTCTCGAACAGGTAGAGAAAAGATGCCACGCGAAGGACCAATACTGCGCTGCCAACTCCATCTGCTGCTCTGGGGTGTGCATCGGGGCCAACAACCGTTTTGGAGGCTACTGCAAGTAGGTGCCTCAAGCCTGGTTAGCATTAGCTGCATGGATGGTTTAAGGCTCGTCTGCGTCTTGGGAGCTCAGAAGACGTTTTTTCGGTGTCTAGCAGATGCCCCGAGAGTGGTCAAATATTGACATCTCTTTTTATGTACTCATACCTGCGCCCCTATGGACCCTATATTCGCAGCTGCTTCGTAAATAGAATGTCGATCATGTGTTGCCGCCCTCCTCATCAAAGAGCTCTGACGGGCCACTGCCGCAGATGCGTTGTGGTTGCTGGTCCGACCGCGGTCAGCTGTCGTGGGAACTTACAGGATACCACCTTGCGACGGCCAGTCTCCCTAGCTCGAGCTGTACCAGTCCGTGCCAATGGTAACGGAATTTTTGTTAGATTCAGCAACCATCTCTCCCGTGCTTGCTTGGGAAAATCGCGGCACCAATTTTGTAGAAGATTGATAGACGAAAGTAGTATCCTGGGTAGCAGCAAATGCTCAGCTATTGGCCAATAAATGCGTTTATTAAGTGTCCGGGTGCACACCATGCGACTATGGCGTGGTACCGGAGTTTGGGAGGAAAAGTCGACCTGGGCTGCTGATAGATTGAGGCATTGCCGCATACAGCTGTGAGCGGAACCACCGTCCTCCTGCACACTCTCTTGTTGCAACACTCGACCCACTTTTGCCGGTGTCGGTGATGGCCGAGCTCCTAGAACACTGCAGAAAAGAGAGTATGGGGGAGGAAACCAGTTTCGCTCATAGCTGTAGGATTAGGCGAATGAGCCTAAGGACCTCACGTAGGTCGGGGTGCGAGCCGTAAAGGAACCATCTCTGGCGGGATGGAGGCGTTTCAGATTGGCGTCGGGTGGGCCAGAATTGCCCTTGTACAGGACAAGGCCGGTATGGCGCTCGGCAGCAGCATAGAACATGTCTCTCGATGACGTCCATACGGAGGGGTTCGAGGAAGCAGTCTAGCGCTGCGTACAAATCGTTCTCAGTAATGCGGAGTTCCCACTCGAGAAGGTAGAGAAGTTGCTTCGCCATTAGGTTGACTTCTGTGAGGCCCAAACTAAACCGGTACGTCTCCGTGTTGATTTGAGTATACTTCGCCCAGTGCTTGTTCTTAGGTGACTTGTCGTTAAGGTACTTGGCAGCAACAATGAGCGTGGCCAAAAATATGCGGTGTTTTGTGCTTTTGAGGCCAGGTGACATGCATCGCAACTTGGGCTTGAGGCGATTCAAGTAGACGAGTGTCGACATGAGTGTTGGGACCTGGACGTTGGAGCAAACAATCAGCTGAATTATGAAGTCCTCCATCGTGGGCAAGTTATCGTTTACAGATGTGACAGACGGAGTTAGTGTAGTCCTCGCTAGTCCAGACGATGACGCGTCAGTCTTGGCCGGGAAATCGGGCGCGATAGTAGAGTTGCCAGAGAAAATATTGTGGACGATGTCGGCGAGGAATAAGGTCATCTCCCGGCTGACGGGCCGGTGAATAAGTTGCTCCATCGCGATTCTGTTGAGCTCATCCATGGTGTTGGAGTTGGCGCCGTTCTAGCATCAAGGGAGGGCGACTGTGGGGACTTTCATGGTCATGTCAGGCCACACAACAACAATGGAGTGCTTTAATACATCGGAGACTTCGGGGGAACCGAGACGGCGAATGAGGCTCCTGTTGCTCGTGTGTTGCGGACGGGGATGCAATAGGTGCCTGGGTATCCCGTGCGAGTGGTGAGTATTATCAAGCAAACAAGGGGCGTCAACGAGCCGTTGGTACTAGCAGATGATGTTGCTCGCCTGCTGAGCCGCGACGTGTAATGAGACATCTAGGGCTTACCGAAACAAGGGATACACAAACTAACCAATAATACCCGAACCGGTGATTGTTTTGTCTCAGAGAAAAGCTGAAACCTCACGGGGGCACGTCTGGGAGCTGCGCATGCTGGCTGCGGGCGGATAAACACAGTTCAACTGCTGCCTTAACATTCTTTGTTGGGTTTCTGTCTGAATTCTTTGTTGGGTTTCTGTCTGCTCAAACGGTGTCCAGTCATCCCAGATTATGCCATTGCGAGGCAAGAGAACCTTGTCGCCACCACCTGTCTGATGGCCAGTAGCTCTTTTCTCAAGCGACTTATCTCACGCCGCCTTGCTTGCTTGTTTGCCATCCGTACACTGAAGCCTGCGTCCACAGTAAATTGAGGCCGTCTTCCAGCGGGGCGTAGATACGTAGAACGTTGTGCTTTCCCTTCGCGCCGCCCTTTTACGGCCCGACGCCGCTGCCGCCGTCCCCCTCGCTGACGTCGCTGCTGCGGCCCTCCCGGCCGACGACGCCCGATGCCTCGGACGACGAAAACGTGGCGCCGCTGCCGCGGGCGGCGCCCAAGGTGCCGACGTACGAGTACTACGGCTTCGTGCTGTACCTCTTCAGCAGCCTGACGTTCCTGCTGTGGCTGCCGTGGAGCTACACGCCCGCGCCGTTCCTGCTTGCGCTCGGCATCCGCTACTACCCGGACCGGTGGTGGGCGCTGGCGACGCCGGCGTTTCTCGTCATGACGCTCGTCTACATCTACGTCGCGCTAGCGTCGTACAACACTGAGATGCTGACGGTACCCATGGCGAGCGTCGAGACCATCGTCACGGCGCGGGCAAGCTCGCCGGCATCGACTCCAAGGGCCGTCTGCGTGGGGCTGCTGCTGTTGCTGCCGGCGGCGCGGGAGCGGCGGCGCTGGCGGTGGTGGCGGCAGTGGGAAGGAGAGAGCGCAAGTGTGATAGCAATGGGCGTCTGCGCTGGAGGGAGATTTGGAATGAGGGCATGGACGGCGTGTTGGACATTCCGCTCGCGGGCGTGTGTGAGGTGCTCTACGGCGAGGGGAGGGAGGACGGCACGTCTGACGAGTGGACGGCAGCTGCGACGACTTGAAGGGGAGCTCTCAGACAGGCATTTAGTACGGCTGGTGTATGATCATGATGTCGGGGGCGTTTGGTTCTTTCCTGGGGACATGGGGATATTGGGGCAATGGGAACAAGCGCTGTTGACGATCAGCGGAACGTGGCATCAATGGCAATGTCAATTGAATCGCGTCATCTACCTCGCAGCTCACTTGATTTGGCTGCGTCCTCATCTCCTTGAAGGTACGTACTGTTTGCGCGACGCCGCGCAACGGCGTCGCGCAGGAGCAATCTCTTGCCGGTGTCGGGGTGACCTCTGACTACCATCCCATAAACCATCCCAAGAACCAGCTAGGGCGACCCTTGTCAAACCGGTAGCCGGCTTCAAAGTAGTTATTTGGCCCATCCTTGCCAAAAGGGACCTTTTTTTCATACCCGTACCGCGAAGCGCCACCATGCTCTTTAGTCATCTTCAGACCATGGGATCCGTTCTCCCATTTGATGTGGTTGCCGCTGAATGGACTTCCATCGCTCAGTGGCACCTTTCCGACGGAGAATCCGCCCCCGATTGGGAAATAGATCGAGTCTCCCTTGGCCATATTCGCTAACGACGTCAGAAGCTGCCAAACTCATAACAAACGGAGATATGCATACCAGTCTGTTGGAGATCGGGTTCAGTTCAAGCGTGGCGAGGGAAGATAAGTCTTTGTGCTTGGATTGAACATTGGCAGTAGAGGCAGAGAGGATCATCTGCCATCTTTATAGGTTTCTTTGTCCTTGTTTTTCACTTTCCGAGCTGCCGGTCTGTTCCTGGGAAAGGCGTAACCGGAGGCCGGACGTCTGCCGAGCGCCCAAAGGGGCCTGGAAACGCAGCGGTCATGCGTAGTTGCGTCTTGCCACGAGTCGGGCAGCGAGGATGCCGTCGGCCGCGTCACTTCCTATGTTCCAAGCAGCTTCTCGAGCGGTTCTACAGATGCAATTCATGTTAGTTCGTACTTCTGCCGCATTCGTGAAAGCAGAACGGGACTGTTGGCCAATACACACCGCCAAGCGTGGCGCGAGTTGATTCGCTTCCTGCAAAGTCATGGCGCTCGTTGGGGGCGGCCGGAACACTCAGACGCGTCACGATCTGCAAGCCCACCGGTCAAGCTTCTGCAATTCAGATTTACCCCGCCCGCATTGTCACTGCAGTTCAGGAATGTCCCACCCACGTGCGCGACCTTTTGCGCCGGCCCAGTCGCGGCCCGTCGCGCAGCTTGCATGAGGCTGAAAGCTGACCCATGCAGGACTGTCATTGGCAGTAATACGTACTCTGTAGCCCTCGGTGCCAATAGCGATGAGTCACTCATTCGCCCCGGTGTTTTGACTTAAGGGCATGGACTCCTGCAGGTGCGAGAGTGGAATACTGGGCGCCTTCCCCCGTGGCTCGCGGCATCCAATTCATCATCCTCGCAGTATCAAGTCCACTTGCATGTTCTCGCCCACATTCCAGCTGCACGCAAGCTAATGGGTGAGATTGGGCAGACAGCGCTTTTTGCTGACCTTCTTGTCGTCATTCAATTGAAAGCCGGTCTTGATCCGTGCTCCAACAATCATGCAGTCCGCGCCGGCTGGCAATTGCGGCAGACAAGGCTCACACGAGTCGGATGCCTGGCTCCTGTGGCCCGATTGCCGAATACACCCAGGCCAGCGCCATACGGTCTTGCCGTTCACGGCAGATAGGGAGCATGGAGGCTCTAAACCCTCACTGCCGACTTTTAATGCCAGGGCGAAAACCCATTCCTCCGAGGAATGGGAGAAGATGGCTGAACCTTTGCGACGATTGTACATGGACTATCGACTCGCCGCCCCGGATATTGAAGCTATTGCAACTTTGGTTCATCACTTCATTGCCTCGTAAGGCGCTCCCCTCCCGGTTAATCGTACGGCTGCTCAGGCCGATGACAGAAAGGATTCATACTACCAACGCTTCGCGGACTGGAACAAAGCAGGCCGCGGGTTTCAGAAGAACAAGCTCGACCACGACGCCACTATGCTGCCTGATGCGTCTGTCCGGGCTCTACAAACGCGCCGAAGCAAGAAAACAAAAGATATGTGGTTCTATGGGGAGTCACTTTACAAAAGATTCGCGAACAACGTGGCATTGAATACGGACTACAGGACACTCGATACATATCGCGAACAAGAAATCGTTCTCAAGTCCATTCACGGCCATGTCTTCTCCCTCTTCGAAACATTCAGCTGGAGCTCAGACAGCTACTTCATAATATCTCCCTCAGGGGCTTCCGATCCAAGTGAAACATGGCAGGAGTTGGCTGATCTTGCCTTTGGCACGAGCGTTTTGGTACGCAACGGGCAAACGCCTCACGCTAAAAGCAACCTACAAAGGATCGACGACCTTCTTGAGCAAACCGCGACGACTCCGGATCCATTCTTCGCGGCAAAGTTCTGGAGATTCAGCAAGTACTTCTATGATATCTGCGAAAACGAGCAAAATTTCAATCTTCTCTACACCATGTTCAATCACTACAAATGCCTCATTGAGAACAGATGCAGCAAAGAACATCCGCTTGTTTCAATGCTCAACGCTCTATGTCAAGTCGAAATCAAGGATCTTCGTGACACCCTGCGCATCGGATATCTCATGTCGATTCGGGCACTCAAGTCTTGTATCCATGGGGATCACCCTGTTACGCTCTCCATGTGGTCAAACTATTTCAAGGAATGGGACTCGAATGGTTCATTTCAGAGTCAACTCGCCGAATCTTATAGGAGATTACTTCAACAGGCCGACCAGGATCCAAAGTTTAAAGATCAACCTGATTTTGCGATTCCTTTGCTGCACAGGTATACTTACTTTGTGTACTATGTTCTCCAAGACGACACGCTCAGCCTTCAGCTTGGAAAAGATCTGTTAGATAGAAGCAGATGTAGCATGGTCTTCCAGCGGACTCGCAGATGGGCACCCGAATCCCAGGCGTTTGCCTTTGCATCAAAGGTGCTGGGACTTGTCAGCCGGAAGCTCGGCAATCAGGCTGCATTCGAATACTACTACAACGCAGCCATAGCCATGTTCTGTACTGGAGATGACGAGTGTCGGACGAGGGCTCTGATGCTGCGCAGTGAACTCGCCGAGGCATTGGACACATGGAATGGCTCTAATACTGCAGATTGAAGATCATCATTGAACAGGTCAGCAAGTGTGTTGGATGACTGCAGTCGAGATGGAACGCTCGGGCATCGCTTATTGGAGTGCGGGAAGAGGCACTTGGCGAAGTAACAAATCGCCGCAATGACCAAGAGTGTCTTTCTGAATTGATCAGCGCCTTATTTTGAGCCGCGCCGCTTTTGATCGAAGAGGCCAGCCTGAGCAGCGACCCTCACACCGACATCAAACTACACTGAGCCGTTCGTTGCTTGCACCAAGTGTGCGGATGCCTCTTTCGCGAAAGTTATGGTATGCAGGTAAACCTAAGGACACCCCCGCGGTTAACCATGACCTCAGGCGCAGTGCGACAAGGGCGCCGTGTAACATCCCGAGGTTTCAAGCGATGTAATGACATAGCAACTCGAGACATGGACTGATCGCTAACTTCACTAATAAGTGAACCAAGCAAGAAGAGACTCGACATATTCCCACGTAAAAACATGTACAGCGAATGTGTTCAGAGGTGCCAAAGGCGAAATTAGTGGCATCCCGTGCCAGGAAAGAATACATGTCTACCTAGAAGCAGGGCCAAAAAGGGTCGAGGCTTCAAACAGAGGCCTAGAGCAGTGCGTCATAATCTGGTACACAAGCCCGCATTGTTGACCGTCATGTTAAACACCACTCTCCCAAATGATACAGTGACAAAATAAAAACATGATCATGGCCAGAAAGCCCTGCTTCACTGTCTAGAGTCGGGTGGCCCGCATTGAATGCCTCCCGCGAGACCGGCTGCCCCTCCGTTCATGTTTGGCTGGCTCGGGCGGTGCGTTCTTGAAACTCATGATGGCGTCCATAAGCATGGTCCACAGTGCACAAATGCGTGACCAAATCGGAGTCTTAATAGTCGATAACAGTGTCCAATATATGAAGATCAGATCTCGTGCCAAGCAGCTTTCGAACCTCTTCCACCATATCATCCAATAACACCAGCTCTCCACCATTCCCTTTTACCGGTTCGGCCCCTCTGACCTTGTGTTCTGACTGCCCCAACCGCTTCACTCTGACCTGACCGGCAGCAGCTTCTTCTCGACCCAGGATAAGGCCCAACGGTACGCCTTCTGCGGCCTTGAACTGCTGTGTCATTTTTGGCTTGACTTTTGGAAAGAACTCGGCGCGTATGCCAGCACTCCAAAGTCTCTGAGCGATTGACATGCGTTCGATCAGAAGTCCAGTGCAATCTTTGTCGCCCAGAGCAATGATGTAGACTTGAATACCACGATCTGGTGTTAAAGTCTCGCTCCATTGTCGAGCTTCCAGTATGGTGAGTATACGGTCAACACCGAAGGAAATACCCACACAAGGTATCTGCTTCTTGCCGTACATGCCGACCAAATCATCGTATCGACCACCAGCAGCGAGACTACCCACTTGAGTAATGGGTGCTTCTGCCTCGGGCTTTTTACCTGAAGCAGCACTCTCCTTGGGCTTGGGGGGCAGACTAACAACCTCGTATATCAAGCCAGTATAGTAGTCGAGACCTCGGGCAAGCGAAAGATCAAAGGAAACCTTGTCAGAGATGCCAAAGGCATCCACGTACGATGCAAGTAGTTTCATGTCGTAGATACCCTGCTCGACTTGCTTGTTTGCAAGTAATTCGGGCTTGGAGTTCAATAGGGTCAAAGTGTCAGGTATGGTGCCAGCGTGGCGAACATATTCGCCGATCCGGTCGGCAACATCTGCAGCCAAACCCTTTTCAATCATCTCCCCTTTGACACCCTGCCAAGATGACTTATCAAGTTTGTCGATTGCAGAACTGATCGTTCGAATCTTGCCTTCTGTGACACCGGCGACTGCAAATATGCCGTCCAGTACCTGCCTGTGATTCAACTTGATAGTAACATCAAGCTTCAAAGCATCAAAAACCTCGACGATGATACGCAAGACCTCAGCATCGGCAACCATGGGGTCATGAACGCCAGCGATATCGAAATCACATTGGTGAAACTCGCGAAAACGTCCTCGAGAAACAGCCGGCTGATCTCTTCGATAGACCTTAGCGATGTGATAACGCTTGACTGACTCGATGTTGTTCATGGCAAGCCAACGAGCGAACGGCACAGTTAGGTCGTAACGCAAGGAGCAGATCTCCCCCCCTTGGTCCTGCAAATCGTAGATAAGTTTGGAGTCTTCGCCGTACTCTTCAGCGTTGTTAGTTGCTTGACCGCTGAAAGTAAAGGCTCTGTGCCCTCGGCAGGTGACTGCGCCTACTTTCGGAAAGGATTCCTTTCAGCTCGAACACGGGAGTGTCAAGGGGGGTACCGCCGTGCTTCCTGAAGACATCAATGACCCTCTTGCTACAAGATGCATGAGCTTTTTGGTCTCGACTGAAGTCTCTTTGGTGTTGGAATCATTGTCCGGTCAAGACGTACAAAACTTCATCACGGATAAGGATATCGCGTCCACTCCAATCTCTCGTGCCCTTAGGGGTCTTCAGCGTAACCGTCGGGGAGCGAGATGCGCTAACAGATCGGGTGTCCATTTTCATATCCGCCGATCGATGTTGTGCAGCAGTTTTGAATCAATCAATGGTGGAGGGGTTGTGGAAACTCAAGAGAACGAGCTTCGGTACGGGCCCGTCTGGCTGAAGATGCCAACGCGTCTGTTCTGCTCACATAGGATGGCAGAGCCGTTCCACCCCGTCTTGCTGGAAAGGGTATATATATATGGTGTAGTTTTTAATCTCTGCAGTTGCGTATCGCCTACCGATCGGCTTTGGCCGCCATGTAGATCTACTTCAGCTTTTCCGGCTAGCCGGCTCCCCCCGGGGCCCCCCAGGGTGGCCGGCCCTATGTAGTCGGCGCTGCGACCGTCCACCGTCAGCCAGCCGTCCCCTCGGACTCTTGCCTTCTAAGGCTAGCGTGCGACTAACGAGCGGCTCGGCTTGCTACAATCATCATTCGTTGGCATCTGCTCAAGTTCGTCCTCTGCTGCCCATATAGCGTTCCGCCCAACCAACGTGAAAATGCCAGAACCAACTACCTTCCTAAACCATAAGCCTGTTGGGCACTTTTGAATCCTATCACAAGTTGTCATCAATAGGCAGTCCTGGCGTGCAGCGCATATCCTCTTCTACGGTTAGCGCGCTCGGCCAATGCGACTAAAAGCGGCTCGGCTTGCTACGATCATCATTCGTTGGCATCTGCTCAAGTTCGTCCTCTGCTGCCCATATAGCGTTCCGCCCAACCAACGTGAAAATCCCAGAACCAACTACCTTCCTAAACCAAAAGCCTGTTGGACACTTTTGAATCCTATCACAAGCTGTCATCAACAGGCAGTCCTGGCGTGCAGCGCAAAGCTTCTTCTAAGACCGGCTCAAATTGCTACGTCGATGTTTGGGACGGGCTCGAGTACTTCCTTCCCGACTCCAGACGGAAACGTTTTCTGGCTCCCACATTCCTGCAGTTGCCGGCTAGATATGCATCGTGCCGTGTCAGCATGACCAACGAGTTCGTTGGCCGTGATATCCATAACACGTAGAGTGCCAACAGCTCAGGAGTACACATCAATGGCTGGGAAGCCCATGTCTATCGATAACTATAAGAGTTGTGTTTATTCTCTCCAGATGAACGAACCCAGAACCATTCTACTACCTACCGGATCGAAAGTGCATTCGTGAAAGCCATTACTTGAACACCGCTGCCTACTTCCTATCTCAATATCTTCGCTGCCTCTTATCTCTACCTGTCTCTTATACACATCTAGATGTGTATAAGAGACAGTTCTACTACCTACCGGATCGAAAGTGCATTCGTGAAAGCCATTACTTGAACACCGCTGCCTACTTCCTATCTCAATATCTTCGCTGCCTCTTATCTCTACTATCTGTTACGGAAGAGGAAGAATGAAGTTTGCCAAGGTTACAGCTCTGTCTGCCTTGGCGGTCGCAACGGTCGTGTCTGGGGCACCAGCGGTAGTCACGGCCGGCATGAGCCGCAGCGATAACATCGCAAAACGTGTGCCCAGCTGGCTAAACTGCTTCCATGACGACGGAGCGGCAGCCCGGGCACGCTGCACAGGCCGCTGTGATAACAATGGACACATCAGATGGAATGAGTCGCTCTGCACCGAAGCAGAAGCCAGACCTATGGAATATGGTTGTTATTGCGAAGCCGTATCGTGCGGACCCTTCGCTTGCGGCAAGGACGAAAAGGACAAGGACAAGGATCAAGGTGAAAATACAGGAAACTCTTGATGTGCAGAAGGTCCAAGCGCACGCTTGATCCACCTGATCCACGAGGAGTCGATTGTCGGGGGGGGGNCAGACAATGACGACGCTGGCAGATTGAATGATAATCGCCACTACCGATAGTGCAACCTGTTGAAGTGACGAAGAGATAAACATTTCGAAACACAAACGACATTGACATGAATTGTGATCAGAACGCACTATTAGAATTGGAACGGAAACAGACGGGAAGTCATAGTTGTCCTATTCTCTTGAACACGTGAGCTAGTCAGCTACATTGTGAGCGCCGTCGTCGCTTTCTGTGGTGTCGGCGCGAAGGCCGGCTGGTTGCTAAACCGCGAGAAGTTGGAGCCGGCGTGGTCAGCGCGACCGGGCAGACGACCTCGGTGGACCACTGTAACCAACCTCGTTCGCCTTGCTTTCTAGATCTCGCATCAGACGCACCACCAGGCAGTCCAAGTTCCTCGATCATGGCGAATATCACGGATCCTGATGGACTAGATCTGCGATTCCGCGACGCCCTTGATGTCCACGACGTCCTTGCTGTAGTGTGTTTCCGTGTTCGTCTCGATAGGAACAATTGTGCAATACCACGCCTCCTCCTATGCAAGAACTAACTAGCAACTCGCCCTCTTCAGCGGGCTGAGCCATTGCAGCCTTCCAGCATCAGCCGCCCAAGACACATTCTCCGCCCGATCAAAGACCCATATACATCCATTTTCATTTGGCCATCTGTAAAATGCCAAGCCCTGTGCTAGTCTCCGCACGACACAATAGTTGTCCCTGCCGAGACTGGCAGCGGGCTCGGCTTTGGAGTAACCAGCTTGACCGCCTGACTCCATCTTGCCGCTGCGCGCTCTCCTGCATCAGCCTTGAGCCATCAGAGAGGGTGTTAGAACACCAATGGCTCCCAGAATGCTGAGCCTATCGTGAGAAGTATTTACCTGGCTCGGTCAGTATCTACCGAGAACAGTCAGCGAGGGTGAGCATATACAGAAGACGGCGAGAAAGGGAGGCCGTGTGGATCTTCCCCTCGTGCTTAACATCGGCACCCCGCCGGGCGAGGGCCACAAGGCCTAGTATCACAACGTGCACCCAAGCACAAGCGGCAACTGCTGGAGCTAGCCACAGGGCATCCCACAGACTCGACAACATTTTCCAGGGATTACCCAAACTTCAATGCCCTTGCTGTTGCAATTGGGACATCGTATGCCTGGTAACTGTCCGATGACCCTACTTAGTCTGTCTCTAACGGCAGAGGACGTGGTCGTCGGGGATAGCTAACCTTGCCACACTCCGGCTGCATCACTGCCTCTAAGGCTCAATATCGACATATATTCCGTCAATATACTTCTAATATCGAGCTTGTGAGCCGATGGCAAGTTGTCCGCATAGCAAACCCATAGGTAGAAACGGCACCTTGAAATATATAGTGGACAAAGTTAGGCTATGCCCACTTGATGGGTGAAGCCATAAGCACGTTATATAGTGCAATATCAAGCAAATGCACGTGATGGAAGAGCCGCTGGCAACATCACGAAGTTCTAGTGAGACATGGCGGCGAAAAAAGTAGCCAACTTTCGTGAAACCGAATGACACTGCATTAGACATCGAGGTCTAGACCTTGAAGGAAAGGCAATGGCGGTGCTAGCGTGAGTGGCCGCGCGACGCTGAGCCTGGGGAATGTAAGCGTCGTCAACTGACGGTAAAGCGGGTGAAGGGTACACGAGCTAAGTTCTAGATCGTGTCTAGACCTATTCTAAACCTCGTCTTCGCTGGTGCTGTAGACACAACACTGTCAACCGCACAATAGCATAATCAGCTTGTTTTTCCAGCTAGTCACAGGGAGAAGGCACACAACCCACGCCAGCGGAGGTACATGCCCTGCACTGCGATGGATAGTGACAGCACAGGCGACACAATTACTGACTCCGATGGTCCCAGCAGCGGCACTGCCGCAAGGTCCCCCGACGCCGGATCCTCCTCAACTCAGCATGTCAAGTCGCACTCACACGAAAATGTCGGTAAGCCAGGCCAGCAACACAGCAGCGCCGTAGCGCAGCTGCTAGCGGGCTTTTGGACGGTGATTGAGACCACATGGGACTCGATGCAAGGAATGAACAATCTGCACGCGAGACGCTGGAGCCACCGTATATCGTCACTCAAGCCTGATTCGTTGGAAACCATCGGTAATCGCTGTACGGACTGAATGGCGAAGCCAGTAACGGCTTCACTTCTCTTGCCTAACATCCATCAGTCGGCGACATGTATGTCCAGAAGCATTTTGTAGACTTGATCGTGTCACTGTCTGGTCTCACCCTGGACGCTCAAGAGTACAGTAGGACCTGGTGTACTGCGGTGACTTCAGCCAACTTTGCGCAGCTACCAGGTCCGCGGTGAGCGACATTGGAGAGCCACTTTGAGACATGAATGTCTTCGAGCCCCAGCACCGGTCGCGGCTCGTCCTAGCCCGCTGTTGCGGAATGGGCGTTTACTGTTTCTCACGAATCGTCTCGTCATATGATGGGTTTGCCGCCTTCATGGAGCAAACCCCCCCCATACCGCCTAACAAAGCAAAGCTGAGTACAAGCCAACACTCAGGTTTCTTGCGGTACGCTAACCATGGCCGTCTCAATCATGTCTTAAAGCTTGTCACGGCCATTACGACATCATTCATCTGTCCATGCGCCTCCCCCGCCGCGGCCACGGTTCGCTTAATATTCCCGTCCGGCGACCATGTTCAAGCCGCTGACAAGAATGTGATTAAGCGACTCAGGACTCGTCCAATCCCTAACCCGGCAGTGTACTCGAATGCGGTCATTGCGGAAATAGCTTCTATAGATTGCTGCAACCCTGTGAAATCGTCCCGAATTTTGAGGCCTCTTCTTGTGCGACCCTGCGCAAGTGGTCATCAACACATGGCACATCATGGACGCACGTGCAGCTGCACGCCAGTAAGCTTCCGTGAACATGGACCATACGATGTGAAGTGAATGAGCCGCACCTACCGACCATCATGACGGCTTCCTCGGACATGGAATTGGAGCGCGAGACATCTCGATCCGGTCCTGGGAAGTATGTGTTGCGCCAGCCTAAGCGAGGCGGGCTGCTTAAGACCTATCTGAGCATCCAACATTTACGCAGCAAGAAATCGATTTGCCCAGGTCAGCAGATCCCAAAAAGGGTCCGGTTTGTGGGAGTTCCCGCGCACGACTCTGATCCAGGAGATACGCGGCTCATTCGGGGACGCACTGAGCATTGCGTCGAAGATCAGCACAGCAGGTCAAGCGTTGCGACTGATGAACGGACGGAGTGGAGCGCAGGTCAGATGCCCTTACGTTCAATGGATGAGGGGCGGGCCAGCCAGGGGCTCCTGCACAGTTCAAGTTCACTCCAAGATGCTAAAATATGGCGAGGCATGAAGTATGAGCGAAAGGCGCAAGGGCCATTTGCCGGTTGGCTGGTATCGCAGGGCACCATCATCACCATTGACGGAGAGGAATATGTTGAGTATCGCGTGCTGGTCAAGCCTGCTGTTTACTCTCATTCTCTCAGGGGCAGTTCGTGCGTATCGACGGCAACATGCGCTGTAATCGCAGAGCACTTTCACTAGGTCCCAGCGTCCTGAAGCATCAACTTGGGTATTATGGTACATTGAAGTACAAATCGACTACCTTGCTCTGGACCACGCCCTATAGCGACCCTGGCAACCACCGCAGTCTCTAGCTAGGCATGGCCTTGACGCGCCCCTTGGCGCGCCCTTTTAATCTTTGTATAATACAGCCCACAAGCGTTACACAGGATCATTGCACTGTTTGGGCCACTCCTCCATTCGGGCGTTTCGATCGTACCGCAGCAGTCACAGCGCACATCGAGGGTAATGGCCTGCGCAGGACGTCAGCTCAAACTCTTTCCGACGCTGGATTGTAGACACACTTTTAGCCTTGGTAATCTGGCAAGACCTCGTTTTGACCTCAGTCCGTTTCTGTTCACGTTGAAAACCGCAGCCGGTCTCTTGGTAGTGAGTACCAAAAGCCGGAACAAGCCATAACACGAACGGGAGCAATTATAATATACCTCAGTTGCTGTAATGCATGACCTATAAAGTCTGCGTACGAAAGCATGTCGGAAACCTCCTCGTTTGTGGGCAAGCATTCCGGTACATTGAACGGCCCAGACCGAAGCGAAACCCTTTTCTCGTACGTCTCCGCAAACTTTGTGATGACTTGCGCGGCGAGTCTGGTCTGTGAGAGGCTGGAAACGCATGCGTCGATGAGGCGATATTCGTCTTGGCCAATGCTGTCGGAAAAGAACTGATGACGATATATCCTTTTCTGCCGCCGGCTTCGATGACCGATTTGAATGGCAAGGCCAGAGCCTCTCTCGCTGGCTTCGCTTGGCAATTTTGCCATCTCCAATCCTGCAAGCTCCCAAGGCCTGCGGTGCACGAGTGGCTCATTACTACTTAATGAAGACAATGCTGCTGGACGGACGGGACTAATCGCGCGTCGTTCAAGGGTAACATGAACATTTGGAAGACCTGTACCAATTGTGGTGGATGACACGGCTGGATCCTGTCTGGTGTAACCTCGCTCATTCATGGGCCGTACCTGTTGCTGTCTAGCCATGCAATGGACAGTGAGCAAGTTCACGACATTGAGTACCACCGGCGACTGCTCATCTGGAAACGGGCGGCCGTCAATGTGGTGACTGCTTACCTACAAGTTTGGTCAGTTGCAGCCATCTTGAATTGTTTGACACCAGCTGAAGGCAAACGGATGTCTTTTCCTCGCTGCGGCAACGGATCGTAGACGACGGTTTCTGGACCCACGAGAATATCTCGTATCGGCGGCAGCGACTGATCGCCCCGAAGTCTGTCTCTTTCCGTCATTGTGAACAAAGAAACGGCAGTAATTTCATGCAAAATGCATATTTGTATGTTGCCAATTGCCGTTTACTATGTATACTGCACCAGGTGCCAATGGCGCAGCACCGGGCCTTTGTATGGAAGCAGCCCCGCATTTACAAAGGGGGCTTCTGCAGCCAAGGGCAATTCAGGGACCTGGGCCGGCCATGCTTTCTTTATTACGGCGATTGACTATCGCCTCTCACCCGCCGATGTTTGCCTGAGGCAGACTGATAGCGACGGCCAATCTTTCTGGTGCAGTATGGCAGGGGTGCTATCAGCCACAAAGTGACTGATCGCTGCATAAATGCATCACGAGAGCCACTTGCAAGAATGGAGCCGTCTTCTAGGCACCGGCAAGGAGCTGAAGCTTTGCGCCTCGCTCCAGGCCGTGGGCCGGCAAGACGGCCCGCACCGGTGCGCGTAAGCCACTGTCGCTTAGCTTGCGGAGGCTGCAGGCTGACTCGGTGCAGCACAGGCATCTCTCCAGCTGGGCTGAACTGAACTGCACTAAACTGAACTTAAGTATTCCTACTCGGTTGTAGCCACTAATTTAACCGCAGCCATGCCCGGTGAGCGGGGTCTGGCAGACAGCCGACGCGGCCGGATTAACCTCCGGCCGCCCCACCTCGCCAGCGCAATGTAAACAAAACCCCGCGGAAGTCCAAGCAGCCTGGGACTAATGGTTCAAGAGCCCGCGACAGATGCGACGGGAGCGGCCCAGCTTGAGCGTCGAGAGCAAATTCATTAGGACAGCGTTAGTGTTGACACCCGCGAGTTGTGGAGCACTGAGACAGTGGAACGAATGGCGTCAGAGGCATGGAACGGCTATCCTGCGAGCCCAGAGCTGCAAAACGTCCCTGTGCCTTTCAAGAACAAAAAGCCAAACTATAAATTGGTCGCCACCCCTCTGACCCGCATGACGGCAAAGTGAAAAAAAAAATATTATGTAGGTGTACATGCTTCGTGATCCTCTCCCTTACAACTATCCCACAGCCTGTAGGGAACATTCCAGCGCTGGCGGTGTTGTCTAACTGCGTCCCGGAATTGGATGGACCTGGGATGCTCGAAGGAACCCGTTCGAAGTCCAGTCGATTGGTTGATGACGCAGGAGTCCTCATCCATGTACAGACTAGATTGTTCCCGAAAACTGCGCCGTAGCAAACTCTCATATAACGATTCCAGAAATTCAGGATTGCGAATCGTACAGCCAGTGGTCTCACCCTGTCTTTCAGACTCCAGCAGTAGGCCGATAGCCTTGAGGACTGCGTCGAAAAGGTTCGACTGGCGTGATAAAGTCCTCGCAACACGGGAGCGAACGTGCCGGTCCTCGTCCTTGAGCAGCGCCGCCAGTGCCGCCAGCGTCCCCTCAGGTAGGTTCGACTGGCCTCCCAAGGTCAGGGCGGCGCGGGAGCGAACGTACCGGTCCTCGTCCTTGAGCAGCGCCGCCAGTGCCGCCAGCGTCCCCTCTGGTAGGTTCGACTGGCGTCCCAAGGCCTCGGCGGCGCGGGAGCGAACGTGTCCGTCCTCGTCCTTGAGCAGCGCCACCAGTGCCGCCAGCGTCCCCTCTGGTAGGTTCGACTGGCCTCCTAAGGCCTCGGCGGCGTTGTAGCGAACGTCCCCGTCCTCGTCCTTGAGCAGCGCGGCCAGTGCCGCCAGCGTCCTCTCTGGTAGGTTCGACTGGCGTCCCAAGGCAACGGCGGCGCGGGAGCAAACGTCGTCGTGCTCGTCCTGGAGCAGCGCCACCAGTGCCGCCAGCGTCCCCTCCGGCAGGTTCGACTGGCCTCCTAAGGTCAGGGCGGCGCCGGAGCGAACGTGCCGGTCCTCGTCCTTGAGCAGCGCCGCCAGCGCCGCCAGCGTCCCCTCTGGCAGGATCGACTGGCCTCCCAAGGCCTCGGCGGCGCGGGAGCGAACGTCCCCGTCCTCGTCCTTGAGCAGCGCCACCAGTGCCGCCAGCGTCCCCTCTGGTAGGTTCGACTGGCCTCCCAAGGCGTTGGCGGCGCAGGAGCGAACGTGCCGGTCCTCGTCCTTGAGCAGCGCCACCAGTGTCGCCAGCGTCCCCTCTGGCAGGTTCGACCGGCGTCCCAAGGCCACGGCGGCGCCGGAGCGAACGTGCCGGTCCTCGTCCTTGAGCAGCGCCGCCAGTGCCGCCAGCGTCCCCTCTGGTAGGATCGACTGGCCTCCCAAGGCCACGGCGGCGGCGGCGCGAACGTGCCAGTGCTCGTCCTTGAGCAGCGCCGCCAGTGCCGCCAGCGTCCCCTCTGGTAGGTTCGACTGGCCTCCCAAGGTCAGGGCGGCGCGGGAGCGAACGTACCGGTCCTCGTCCTTGAGCAGCGTCGCCAGTGCCGCCAGCGTCCCCTCTGGTAGGTTCGACTGGCCTCCCAAGGCCACGGCGGCGCGGGCGCGAACGTCCCCGTCCTCGTTCTTGAGCAGCGCCGCCAGGGCCGCCAGCGTCTTCTCTGGTAGGTTCGACCGGCGTCCCAAGGCCTCGGCGGCGCCGGAGCGAACGTGCCGGTCCTCGTCCTTGAGCAGCGCCACCAGTGCCGCCAGCGTCCCCTCTGGTAGGTTCGACTGGCCTCCCAAGGCCTCGGCGGCGCCGGAGCGAACGTACCGGTCCTCGTCCTTGAGCAGCGTCGCCAGTGCCGCCAGCGTCCCCTCTGGTAGGTTCGACTGGCCTCCCAAGGCCAGGGCGGCGCGGGAGCGAACGTCCCGGCCCTCGTCCTTGAGCAGCGCCGCCAGTGCCGCCAGCGTCCTCTCTGGTAGGTTCGACTGGCGTCCCAAGGCAACGGCGGCGCGGGAGCGAACGTCCCGGCCCTCGTCCTTGAGCAGCGCCGCCAGTGCCGCCAGCGTCTTCTCTGGTAGGTTCGACTGGCGTCCCAAGGCCTCGGCGGCGCGGGAGCGAACGTGCCGGTCCTCGTCCTTGAGCAGCGCCACCAGTGCCGCCAGCGTCCCCTCTGGCAGGTTCGACCGGCGTCCCAAGGCGTCGGCGGCGGCGGAGCGAACGTGCCCGTCCTCGTCCTTGAGCAGCGCCGCCAGCGCCGCCAGCGTCCCCTCTGGTAGGTTCGACTGGCCTCCCAAGGCCTCGGCGGCGCCGGAGCGAACGTGCCGGTCCTCGTCTTTGAGCAGCGTCGCCAGCGCCGCCACCGTTGTCTCTGATAAGTGTCTGCCAGAACGACCTAGGGCTGTCAGAATTTCCACCCTTCCGCTGCCGGAATTACGTGTCAGTGCATCCTGCAGGGCTCGGTCTGGAAGCTCCGATTCCGTCGCCAAGGATGAGGTTCCCGTCAAATCACATTCGAAGAGCAGCCATTGCGACAGCCTTGCGTCTAGGCTCGATCGATTTGGCAACTCTGTCACTTCGCTCAAGCAATGCATGACCAGCCGCTGATGTGTCGGACCCAAAAGATCAAACGGCTCCTTTTCGATTGTGTGGAAAAAGCCGACAATCTGCTTTTCTCCTTCGGCTTCGAGCAGGCCGGCCACGAAACGCCAAAAAACGTCGTAGAGTGCTGAATATTTATACCTTCGAAGAAATTCGGCGGGGTCTGTTGGTAAATTTGCCTCGTCGCCTTTTGGCCTCTTGAAGATAAAGTCGAGCGGTTTGCGATGTTCGCCATCCCTCCACTGTTGTACGAAATATCGCGCCGCAAAGTACTCCTGAAAGGTCAGGTGTAGAAAGTGGTACGTTCGGTCGTCAAGTCTTGATGATGGGTCCGTCGTCCGCAGGAACGACAGTCTCGCGAGTGTCTCATCGAGTGGCAAATCCAAATTGAACCTCTCGACTATCTTGTCTCGATGCGCAGGCGTGAAGCCTATTACGTCGTCGTACAGGCCGTTAAATGAAAGGCATTCAAGAAGCGCAATCTCGGTGTTAACACAGCGCTCGATCTCGGCTGGTCGGGCCGTTTGGGCTTGCGCCTCAGACATCTTGCCCAATCGCACGGCATCTTTCTTCCACAACTTCTGCACGATAGCTGTGTATATGCCAGTCATAGTGTCTGGCACGGCTTTCGGATCCAAGTCTTCCCAGGTGTAGCAAAGCGCATCCAGTTGGATTGGAATGCGCACAAGACCTTGAATGAGCCAATGTTTTTGAAGGAAGGACTGGACCGCATCGGCCATTTGCTTTATTTTGGGGTCGGCGTCGAGGTAGGCTTTCACCTGGTCTGGGTAGAATCCGATCGTTTCCAATTCGAGATCGAGACTAGGGATGTCGGCTGGAAGGCTGGCATTCGGCCGCGAGGTAATAATGACGTTTTGCTGACCTAAAAGGAGCTTGAGGAAGCGGGACATGTCGTCGTCGCGGTTCCATTCCCCAGATACTTCATCTAGGCCATCTAAAACAAATAGCGTTCTGCCTCCATGTCGGGGCGTTGCGTCCAACACGGCGTCCAACAGGGCGTGTGCGAGACGTTGTCCGTCTTTGTCCTTGAGATGCGAGAAATACTCGTCGTGAAACAGCTTGCCGAGGTTGTACGGTCCATCTTTTCCTTTCAGCCTCCGCAACGGCACCCAAAGCACGCGGTCGAACAGCCTGCTCCATTCATTCCATGTGCCTCGGGTAAACTCGTGGACAATCTTTTTGCACAAGGTTGTCTTGCCAACTCCCGCGCGCCCGCGGATCAAGATACGCTTTGGTTCGATCATGCCACCGTTGCGTCCTTTGCGATGGCTGAAGATGGTCGCTAAATCGACCATCTTCGTGTTGTCGGGCACCTCAATCTTCTGTCGAGAGAGCAGAGTATGCTGTGAGAGCGCTGTGCCTTCTTCATTTGAGTGGCCCGCGTCCTGGTCAGCCTGCTCCACGATGGCTAGGTTTATATAGCACTGATCCATCGGCAACCGGACGCCCGAGAGTCGGTCAATCTGGAGCCTGTCTTCCGTGTAGTATTCGTCGAGAATAAGTTTGTCGGCTTGCTCGAGTCGGGATGGGGCCCTCAGGCGGCCTATCGCGTCCTTCAGAATCTGGTACAGCGTATCATCCCGTCCCGCACATTTATTAAGCCCGGAATGATCGGTGTCGATACCGTGCTCTTCGTTCGGGTCCGCGTCGACTACTGCTGAGTACCGCGGCACCACCTGGAGATAGATTAGAAGATGATTGCCCCTGAACCGTGCATACTTACCCGGCCTATCGATAGCCATCCCAGCAAATACATGGACTTCGTCTCGTAGAAGGAGATGATCTGAACCCTCCGCCCTCGGTTTTCATTTGGGGCCACGCATGACCGAAACCTGGCCGCGAGGTTGCTGAGTTGGCCGTCATGACTCTTCAGAGACAGGAGCAGCGTCGCGTCGGATCCCAGGACTCCAGTGACGAAGGCCAAGACGGCACCGGCAAACGACACAGACGAACCAAGATGAGGAGTGCCCAGGAAGACGATACCAGAGGTATCACTAACGACCTCTTCGGAATCTTGCGCACATAAAGCCTTGCAAATGTTAGACTAGAAGGTATAGACTCATGGCGCGCTGGCACACCTGCTTGATGATAATACCACCTAAACTGTGTCCAATAAAGATGATGGGGAGATGCTAAGACGAGTGTCAGTGCCGCCCAGCGAAAGACATGGTCAATCTATACAGGTACTGATCGCTTATCCTTTATCTCTCGTAGCAGGCTGTTGCCGATCTCGTCGGACGTCTTGACGGGCGCATCCGTCAACCAGTTGGAGTTGTGCTCAAAACTCAGGATTCTGGCCTCTGGGAAGTCCGGACCAAGTAAATCTCGAAGTAGGTGAATCCTCGGATTGTGTGCAGGCCCATACTCGGTCGCTGTGGCCTCTTGGCATCCACCGACCGAGGCGGTTGGGGCGGCGTGAGTCCACGTGTGCTCCGGATCGGCGCCGAGGCCATGGACGGCAACGATCCTACAAATGAGTCAACGAGGCCCGTGGCTCGAGGGAGCGGGATCGACAAACTCGAACTTGGCACCATATGGGTCCGACAGAACTTTGAGCGTCCCAGAGCGCGGGCTGTTCTTGCGTCGACGGAGCTTGACGATGAGGGGATGGAGCGCGGTAGCAAGCAGCACGACAGCCACGGCAACCGTCGCACCCCGTTTGCCCGCCCCGCCAATGCTAAATCTCCACGGAGTGGCCATGGCGAGCCGAGGGAACGCAGCAGCGGAAGGGACGGAAAGATGATTCTTCCATTGCCCAAGCCGTGCAACTGCTTGGGTAAGGTTGTGTGAAAGCGAATGCCTTCCACGCGGTGAAGGAGGTGACGCCACCTGTCTTAACCAAGACACAGAGACGAAATCGCGGGCTGCCCGCAGCAAGGCAATTCCTTGGGCCAGTTCGCGCAGGGAATTGCCATGCTCGACCCTCCCAAAATGACCTGTTCCGACCCTTGTCACCAGGGTGGTTAGACATGGGCAAAGGAACCATTCGAGCCGGGATGAGGGTCGATATTTGCTGTACATCTCTGAACGGCACGCTGCGTGGCACCTGGGCGACCACTAAACGTTCCGCTGCTGCGCCACGGCGCTTCTGCAAGGCCCGCATAACCAACCACGCTGGCTGCTGGCGCTGGCGGCAATATGCAGTCATCCGTGAGCCTGGCGTTTCGGATGCCACCTTGCTCAGCAAATTCCTCGCTCTGAAGATGGCAGACAACGCTGCGAGCGGAGGCAGCAGAGGTCGCTGGTCGCGTGTTGCAAACAAGAGCAGCCAAGGTCGTCAGGCACTGATGTGAATGGTCCTCTTGGTCCAGATGCAACGCCTTGCAGTTCCACCATCGTTCTCGTCCAACGGATTCTTGGACACAATGCGCCGCGACACTTCAGTGCTGCAGCATCGCGCCGATCATCTCTACCGTTACCAGCCCGGTGCGGCCCTGCTTTGCTCACACCCTGTCATCATGCCTCTGCTATCGCTAAACGGAACGGCAACAGTGAACTGACTGTGATGGACGGTTCTGTATCCCTCACACCGACACCGCCACAGGCCCAGGAGCAGCTCCTACGTCAATAGACGATGACGCACAACCAGCAACATGGATGCGAAATTGAAAGTCGCCCGTGCTTGGTATGCGCTCGTCGTACCTTCGTCGGACCCCGTCTCAGCTAAGGCGTCTACTACTAGGTACCTCCATTCTACATTCGGCTCCTCTACCACGGCAACGAACACGATGCCCATGCGTCCCGACGCGATCGCGACCAGCTCCTGTCGCTGTTACCCACGTCGTACCGCAAAGAGTCCGGTGACTTGGCCGCTGTTGGCAGGCATGTCACGGCCTGTGTTGAGAAGGAGCTCGACCTTGAGCGGCTTACCAGCATCCACGACTGGCTCTGGGTCGCGGGCTTGCCCCTGCCGCCGCGGGCGTTGCACAACCAGCTCTTGCTAGGCCGGGGAATCTTTATCACGGAGCGGATGGACATGCATCTTGTCTGGACGACGGGTAAGATGCTCCTCAAGCCGATCCCGCGCTTCCTTCTAGAGCCCAGCTTCTGGGCCGAATATCTCTGCTGCAAAGGTAGCTGCGGATTGCGTGACGGGGACGTTGCCGTCTGCGGCGCCACAAACAAATGCGAGCGCCAAGGCCTCCGACGGCGTGCGCTTGGCTTCCTCTTCTCGTACGCAGCGCTCATATCCCACGAGAGCGACTTCCGCATCGCTCAGGACAAGCACCTACTTCCGCCGGAGGTGTCATGGCCCGCATGGAGGATATTCGTTGGGCAGCTGGATACGGAGCGCATCTATACACATGTTGATCCCCGCTTTCAGTACGGCGAGCTGCGTCTGAGCCGCCTGAACAAGATATACGCCTTCACGCAGACCCCGTTGCGTGGCTACGTGCGCCGCTGGAATCAGTATGGCGCTTTCTTTCATGACAACTTTGCCTGGCTGGCCAGTGCATCGCTCTACATCGTTATTGTCTTGACCGCAATGCAGGTCGGGCTCGCAACAGAGTCCCTTGGCCGCAATGATGCTTTTCAGGCTGCATCGTACGGCTTCACGGTCTTTTCTATTCTGGGGCCCCTCATTGCCGTCTCGCTTATCGTCATAGCATTCTGCTGTATTTTTGTTTGTAACTGGATGAAGGCCGCTAGTTACAGGAATAGGCGCCTTGAATAGGTTCGCTGGTGGTGCAGGGCGCGGCGGTATGAAGCCGAGGTCCAGCATGAGAGGCGTGCGGCGCTCCCACTTGGGCTGCGAAATATCGATTCAACTTGTCGAGCATCCGTTTTAGCTGGCGTCCTGAAGTCATTATCCTGATGGTCAGCGTAAGCCCTCGCAGTTGGACGAAATAGATGACTTTTGTGCAGCGCATTCGGCGCCCGAACATTCGCCTGCCATGCCAAATGCCATGGACGCAAGCGGGCAACTTTCGCCAGGAGATAAGTAGTCTAGCAATGGGCATCCGTACTTCGTGGGCTTTGACCATCAGCATGAAAGTACGATACGTAGCGACAATGCGTCAGTGTTTGTTAGTCAAATACCGCATCTTGACCACATGCCCGAGGGGCACACGGATCTCATGCGGGCGACCCGCAGGCGCAACAGAGTGGAACGACCTACCCTCTCCGCCCGCATCGACGTCCACCGACAACGCAGATGACGCTTCCAAACTTGCAGTATCAGTCTTGTTATTGCGACTGCGGCCGGGCCGGCAAGCAGGTGAGTGCAATTGGTACTTCATCGGCTCTGTTGCGCTGCCTGTTCTTGTTCCCCCAGGCGGCAATGCCACCGCCAGTGCTGGCATGGACTCCTCGTCGGTGCTGCCTCCGCGGCTCCCCGCCGGTACGGCCGCTGTCCCGTTCCTGTAGCTGTGGGGGCTGCGATTGGCACCCAGCGGGCCGCAGTCTGGCCGGCCAGCCCTGGGGCCACAGCACGGACCTCATCAGGACCAGATTTCCCCCAGGGCCCAGTCGCCAGGGCATAAAAGCAATGAGGTTGTGTTCAGCATTTCTGCACTTCTCGAGGAGGGAGCCGATGCCGCGATTGCAGACAAGGAAGCGTGGACACCAAGTCAGCGGCCAGGTGCGGTGAGAGGTCAGGGATAATGCCTTGGTGCTCGTGCTCCTGTCAAAGACACAGGCCATTGTCGTATTGACCCATGCGCGTGAGAATGATTGGCCCAACGGCGTTTCAGCTGCGGAGCTGCGGTCTGTGGTTTAGCCGCAGCCCGTTGCCTCTTCGCACCGTTGTCACACAGCGCCAATTCTTGTTCTTCCCACTGGTTCTCGACCGCTTTCGCCGTTTCTACAGGATCTCTGTGAAGTGAGAGAGCGTACAAGAGTGAAGCGGGTGGTGTACGAGGTGTCGACAGATCACGTTTTGACGGCGATCGACTTCGGCTCTACTGCACTCTCCACTTTTATCGGGTAGACCCTCAGGATTGTTCCAGCGGCCCGCGGCCCGAGACTTGCACCAAGCAACGCTACGGGTGCATCTACACATCGATTACATACCCATGAAGACAAACACCAGTTCCATGTCATTAGGCACGTCTCCGAGATAACCAATGTCGTTAAGCGTAACAATTTTGCGTCGCTACGAATTGATGGTAGTGTGGAAGAGTCTGCAGCTATGTCTTAGTAGCGTACTTGCCTGCTTTAGCGCATCTATCAAAGCATCTCTCGAAGTCGGGAGCCATGGGCAATAGTGCCAGTTGCCGCTACAAGCGATAGCCTACGTTTACGCCAAAACATCTCCAGAGTACCTATACTCGGAACAGATCCCCCCCAACCACTGTCCAAGGTTCAGCCAACACAGTCCCTACCTTAGAATAGCCGGAGCCATCCATAGGCAGTCAGGTATAAGACCGCACCTAAATAGGCATGCGTTCGATCGCGAGCACTACTGTGTGCTATCGCATCCCCTGTCCTCACCCATTCATGCTGCAGGAGACAAGGGTGTCTGCCCTAGCGGGATCCTTTGGCAATTTCGTGTTATGTATGTTGGCCTTGGAGCTGCAGCCTCCATGGCCCCGCATCTTGCCTGCTCTGACAATGCGCAGTCCCAACTATTTATACCGTGGTTTCCTTGCGCATTCCTCCAAGCTGCTTCTACTCCACTTCCGGTCCAGTAAATATCACAGTCAGCACATACCTCGGACATACAGTTTCTCTTCATCTAGTATATAGATATCTTTCTAAGCCCATTCGTATACGCTAACCTTCTCACCAATCCCCCGCCATCATGCCGACGTCGAGGTCAAGGTCTATCTCGGGACAGCTCGGGAGGAGCGATGGCTGTTCGCAGTGCCCATACCTAAAATGCGACATCGATAAACTGGCAGATGAGAATTCAAATCTTGAATACTGGTGCAAACACCTTGAGCGTGTCGTCGAAAACCAGGTACTTGAGCTGGGAAGAGCTGATAATAGGATCTCTTACTTAAGCCATGTGCTTGACGAGAGACAAGAATCCAGTCTATCAATCAGGCTCCGGTGGCTGGAACGGTCAAACGAATCTTTAAAAGGCCAGATCAACGATATGTCCAAGTTGGGGGAGACTTCTGCCAAAGAAACTCGCATCTTGCGTGCCCAGTTGAACGACGTGCAGAGGGAATTACAGGCTCGCACCAGTGAGAAGAATCGACTTCAGAAGGCTCATGAAGAGCTACAGAAAGAAGCAAAGGATCTCTACGAAGAACGCTCTAGGACGGATAAGAACCTAGAACAACTTCGGTTGAAGGAACACACAGCCAAGGAGCAAATTCGGCATTCAAGTTCTGTTATCGCCAGTCAAGAAGCATCCGTGGCAAAACTCCAGAACGAAGTAAACAGCCTCAGCGACGAGCGCGATCATGCAACCAGAGCTCTGGAAGAGATTGTCATCAAGAAGCAGGCAATTGACGCAGAAAATCAACATTTGGTGGCCACCATTGCGGACAGAGACACGTCCCTAGAATGGTACAAGAACGAGCTTGGTAAGAAGGAAACTCTTAGCCTAGCTCTTTATAACCAGGTCAAAGGTCTAGAGGTTACCGAACTCTACCTGAGGCGAAGCATTTCTGGTTGTTGGCTCCATTCTGTCCGTGCTTGGGTAGGGCGGATATACCAACCATCCATTCTATTTGAATGGGTGCGTCAGCTTGGACAGCCTGGCATTTGGGTTTCACGAGTGCGAGGGACAATCGGGTGGGTGGGCCTTTTCTAGAGCACCCATGCTGGAGGACTCGATATGAGGTTTGATAGCAGTCTCTCTGGCGTAGTTTGGCTTCCCGTGCATCTGCTTAGTGCTCGAGATCGACTTAGGTCAATAGTGCTAAACGGCGTCATTAACTCATAGCGCTGCGTGTGACCTGACGAGTGGGATAGAAACCTGCGCAATATTTGGTGTTCACATAAGCATGGTGATCCAGCAGATTCCGCAGCTGCAAGAATATAACCCGATTTGGAACCTACAGTTGGTACATACGACCATACCTACTAGAAAGAACGGGATCCCGGCCCGCTCTTTCCTGCAGTTCAGTGCTCGCAATTTCAGGCGTTATCAGCATCAATATCCTGAGATATTCCACTCCAATTCTGGAGGACACCGCCCTAAGTGCTCCGCCTCCACAGTAACCCTGCAGCCGAGAGCACAGCACCCTTGTTCCTTTCCGTCGGCGGTTTCCATTCAAGGCTCAGCTGCGTCCGGCTCGATCGAATTGTACAAAACTAGTGAAACATGCCACGTCCCACCTGAGCTTCAGTTCAACCCACCATGTGGCCGAGTCGCTAATGTGCAAGGTTTCCCATCCATATCTGGGCACTGTCCCGTCGAGAAGCGAGATGGGGGATGGGTAGGCTGTGGAGTGGTCGAAGTGCCTGGCAATCAGCCCCCCCGACAGCCTGGCTGCCTCGTGCAAGCTGGGCGTGCCTTGGGGCATGTCATTTCACCGGCGGGAAGTGTGGGGTACCCTCGGCCTGGGCCGGTGCGCCACAGCCGCGACATTGGCGCACGGACTCGTGTGTCCGCAGCCATTCAACTCTGTATTCATCGCCTCTATGGCATCCGCCGAGCAAACCGATAGCGTGGCTTGGCTGAGGGTGGCGGTCACAACACCGCAAAGTTCGACTTTCGACTAGAAAGACACGGACGGAGGCCGGTTACTTCCAGATAAAAGAGTGGCATCAATTCATGGGCCGACGGGCTGGGCTGCCGCCCGAAATGCAATTCGCGTCTGACACTGTGGGATTATGTGGTCGGAGTTGGCCGGATATTCGTTACTCATCCGGTGAGGCTGGGCTGACACTGGCTGCAAAACCGAGCTGTGAGTGAAAATGTGTTCGGCATGAATTCGATTGCCCTGGATGCCTCCGCGCCCCATCGCCTCCTCGTTGGCAGAGCCGCCAAGGCGAGACATGCAAGCAGGGGTCGCGGGTCGTGACGCATTGGACCACAGCGCCTGGGATGGGGCATGGTGTGGGGTTTGTGGCGGTGCTTGTGCCGTCTCTCCCTTGTCAGCGCGGCATGATGTCGGCGGGATGGTTGGTCGCAATCACTGTCCGCTTGAACCAGGCAGGCTCAGCTCCGTCCAGCGGCAGGGTGCCTTCAACCATGGCACGACGGTGTGCGGGTCGCTGTCGACGACGACCTCACGGCCCCTGAGGCGATCGCATTGGATTTGCTCTTTTCATCGCCCAGGTTTACAATCATCTCTTTCCAGATCTGCTGACTTGACTCGCTGCGAGGCGGCGTGTGAGTGGCGAGGGAGGCTCCTCCTGTCGGACCTGCGAAATCACCCAGCCATTTCAGCAAATAGGCTCAGCTGCGCCGATCGAAGCTATGGGTCGTCTCAAGATATGGCAGAAGCTGAAGACGAGCATTCCGGGGAATGCCAGAGGCCGTGACGCAACCCCACCGACGCAGTCTCCTGCGCGATCTTCTGGTACGTCGCCGTCGAGCCTCCAAGAGCCACACGTTGACGGAGGTCGACCATGCCAAAGACTACGCGCACAGCGGCGAACGCCATAACACAAGCACTTCCGGCGACTCAGCAGAGCCTTGTCACTCTGCCGACGAACATCTCTCCGATGATCAAGCGACTCCACCGGACCGAGACCCGAGTGAAGCCAACGTACCATCCGCATCGTCACAAGGCCCTGCATCGCCCCTGCCTGCTGGCTCCCGCGCCGAGGTGC